TATAAGGTAGGTGATATTTTCTTCATTTTACAAACAGATGAACTAAAGCCCTTAGAGGCTAATATGTTAAAGGATATGAAGGGAGTAGGTAATTTAGAACTAGAACTTTGCTGTGATTTCGAAATGTACATGAGGTTTATCTTTGGAATGTTCCAGCTTTTTGTATCTTCTTACCTATTTTTTCAATATGGTGTATTTAGTGGTAAGGTAGTAAGTTTTGGAGTTCAGCCATGCTGTATTTGGTATAACTGTGGGCAAGAAGTTATACTCTTCCAAATTTTCTTTTTTGCTTTTTATTTTTTTAATTATATTTTATTGATTATGTTATTACAGTTGTCCTGAGTTTTCCTCCTTTGACTGCCTCTACCCAGTACCCCTCATTCCCTCAGGCAATCCCTCCATCATTGTTCACGTCCATGGGTCATGCGCATAAGTTCTTTGGCTGCTCCATTTCCTATACTGTACTTTATATGCCCATGACTATTCTGTAACTTCCTATTTGTACTTCTTAATTCCCTCACCTCTTCATCCATTCTCACCCACCGCACTCTTATCTGGCAACCATCAAAATGTTCTCTGTATCCATGATTCATTCTGTCTCTGTTCTTCTTGTTTACTTAGTTTGTTTTTTAGATTCAATTGTTCATCAATACTTTGTTTTTGCCATTTTATTCATAGTTTTGGTTTTCTTCTTTTTCTTAAATAAATCTCTTTAACATTTCACACAATACTGGTTTGATGATAATGAACTCTTTTAGTTTTTTCTTGTCTGGGAAGCTCTTCATCTGCCCTTTGATTCTAAATGATAGCTTTGCTGGGTACAGCAATCTTGGCTGTAGGTCCCTGCTTTTCATGTCTTTGAATATTTCTTGCCAATCCATTCTAGCCTGCAAAGTTTCTTTTGAGAAATTAGCTGACAATCTTATGGGAACTCCCCTGTAGGTCAGTAACTTCTTGTCTCTTGCTGCTTTTAAGATTCTCCATTTATCTTTAGCCTTAGCATTTTAATTATGATGTGACTTGGAGAGGGCCTGTTTGCATCCACCGTGGTTGGGTTGGGACTCTCTGTGCTTCCTAGACTTGCATGTCTATTTCCTTCACCAAATTAGAGAAGTTTTCTTTCATTATTTTTTTCAAATAGGTTTTCAATTTTTTGGTCTTTCTCTTCTCCTGGCACCCCTATAATGAGAATATAGGAACTCTTGAAGTTGCCCCAGAGGCTGCTTGTACTATCCTCATTTTTGGGGGGATTCTTTTTCCTTCTTGTTGTTCTGATTGGTTGTTTTTGCTTCCTTATGTTCCAAATCTTTGATTTGATTCTAAGCTTCATCCATTCTACTGTTGTTTCCCTGTAAACTATTCTTTATTTCAGTTAGTACTCCTTCATTTCTGAATGGACATTTTTATGCTGTTGAGGTCCTCACTAAGTTCCTTGAGCATCCTTATAACCAATGTTTTGAACTCTGTATCTGATAGATTGCTTATCTCCATTTTGTTTAGCTCTTTTTTTTTTTTTTGAGTTTGATCTGTTCTTTTATTTGGGCCATGTTTCTTTGTCCCTTTGTTTTGCCAGTCTCACAGTATTTGTTTCTATGTATTAGGTAGAGCTGCTTTGACTCCATATCTTGGTAGTGTGGCTTAGTGCAGTAAGTGTCCTGTAGGGTCCAGTGGCACAGCCTCCCCTATACTGGAGGTGTGCCCTTTGTGTGGGCTGAGTACACCCTCCTCTTGTAGTTGAACCTCAGTTGCTGTTGGAAGGTCAATGGTAGGGATTTACCCAGGCCAGTCAGCTGCAAAGGTTGGCTGTGACCACTGACAAACAACCTCTGCCCTCTGTGGAGGATCAGCTGTGCAGGCATAGGGTGGTGGTGCTCAGATGTCTGTAGCTGTTCACTGGGTTCACTGGCCTTGGGGTTTCCTGGGTGGGTCTGGCCAAGGTCAGCCCCAACTTGTCTTTTGCCCAGAGCACCCTGCCTGACTATAAAGCAATCTGAGATGGCTGCTACTTGGGCTGGGCTTGGAGATTCCGAGGCAAAGCCACACTTTGAATCTAGGCTGGCTGCTGATAGTTCCTGGCCTGGGGCTCACTGAAACCATCCATAGGATTTAGGAAGTTGTGAAGCAAGAGCCAAGACCAACCATTCATATGGAAATGAAGCTTGGGTGGGCCCCCTAGGTTGGGTGGGGCAGAGTCTCTGGAGATCTCCAACACAGGTCAAAGAGTGTTAGCCAGCTTGATGGAGTCTCAGATATTGGCACCAGCTTGCCAGCTCTGGGGGGAGGATTTAGAAAAGGGACAATGGCCTCTGTTTGCTTTGATATTAGACCCTTCAGTTTCTCCTTATATACCACTGGTGCCTTTCAAGCTGCTACCACAGTGCTGGAGCTCAGAGGCAGTGAGTCTGAGTAGGTGAGTCTGTGTGTTGGTTCTTTAAGATGAACTGCTTCGGGCTCCAGTAGTTTCTTCCATCCACTCAATCACCACTGATTTTTGCAGTAGAAGTTGTGGGAACTTACCTTCCTGGCACTGGAATCTTGGGCTGGGGGACCTGGTGCGGGGCTGGGACTTGTCTCTCCTGAGATACCCCTTCCAAATTTTTATCCACCACACATGGGTGAGGGACCAACCTGTTCTGCGTCTGCACCCCTCCTACCAGTCTGGAAGGATCTGGTGTCTTTAATTCCATAGCTGTCAGACTTCCATTCAGCTAGATTTCTGGCAGTTCTAAGTGATGGTTCTATATTTTAGTTGTAATTTTGATGTGTTTGTGCATAGAGTGAGCCATGTCTGCCTATGACACCATCTTGACCAGAGGTCCTAAGTTTTCTATTATGTAAAATGGACATAATAATAACAATAATCCCCTTTGAGAGTTATTGTGGGGTTTTAGGAGAGAAATTTTATAGTGTACCACAATGTCTGGTACTTAGAAGGTTTAAATAAATATTAGCTTATGTTATTTTCAGATGCTGATGTAGCCCCCTGGCTACTCAAAATTTCCTAAGTCAGTTTATCATAAAGACCTGCCCTTCTTTCTGGAGCTTCTTGCTTTTGCTCTCGTCGTTTTAATTGTTCTCTGTATTCTGGTGATTGCCAAAACTGTGTGTCTACCTTAGACTTCTTTCCTGAACAGAAGATCCATGTACCCAGTTGCCTTCTAGATCTGGTCTGCACAGATCTAGACACAGTAGTACAGTAGGAATAGCTATTGAGCTATTGTAACGTGGCTCTTCTGAATTGAGATGCACTGTAACTACTAAAGTACACACCAGATTTTGAAGACTTTAGTAAGAAAAAAAAGGAATGTGAAACATTTTAAGATTATGTTGATTATAGGTTGAAATGATACAATTTTTATGTATTGGGTTATATGTTTATTATTAAAATTAATTTCACCTGTTTCTGTTTTTTTTTTTTAATGTAGTTCCTAGGAAATTGCATGTGTGACTTGCATTGTATTTCTTTGTACAGTGCTGTTCTATATATAGCTACATGTATATTTCTTATATGGTTCTTTTGTTTTTAAGATTTCATTTACTTATTTTTAGAGAGAGAGGGGAAGGGAGGGGGAAAGAGATGGAGAGAAACATTGATGTACAGAGAAACATTTATCAGTTACCTCTTACATGCCCCCAACTGGGGACTTGGCTGGCAACCCAGGCATGTGCCCTGACTTGAAATTGAACCTGCGACCTTTCAATTTTCAGGCCAGTGCTCAGTCCACTGAGCTACACCAGCCAGGGCTCTCATATAGTTCTTAAGTGCCTTGAAATCAGCTAGTACAAAATTGCTTACTCTCTCCATTCCCTTCTCTCTCCCAAAGTTCAGTTTCTCCTTCTCTGTTCCTTAGCTCAGTGAATTGCTCTATTTATGCTCCCAAAGCCAGAAATTTTGGAGTCATCCTCGGTTCTTCCTTTTCCCACATCTTTCATATTCATTAGTTATAAAATCTTTTAAATTTTACTTGTTTAATATATGTTTCACATGCTTCTTTCCATTGTCATTGTCATTACTTTAGTTCTTTAATGGTTTTTTAATTTTTGTCACATTTAAATCTGTTCTATTAAACAATATAAAAATGGAATTTTACTCTTTTATAGTACTGTTATGATTTTATTTTTAAAAATGTAAAATATTTGCTTCATCTGAAATATTTGTTATTTTAAAGTAGGACTTGACCTTTATTTTTTTAAAAATAGCTACCTAGTGTCTTACCATTTATCGAAAAGTCCATCTTTACTTCACTGATAAGTTATTGTTAAAATTTACCAAATTCCAAAATGGATCTTGTTTTTTCTCTGAATGTTCTATTTTGTTTTATTGATGTTCATGTACCATTGCCATTCTGTTTTATGTATTGTTTCTGTACAGTATATTTTGATATTAATTTAAAGAGAATGGACAACTAGAATACTGTTTTTCCTATCCAAGAATATGGTCTGGATGTTTTTCCATTTGTTCAAGTCTTTTGTGTCTCAAGATAGTGTTTTGGCTTTACTATACTTTGATCTTGTACTTAGGTTATTTCTACATATTTTAACTTTTGTTGTTGGTATTATTAATGGATCATTTCTTCCACTGTGTCTTTTGAGTGGCTGTGTTTTGTATTTTACCATTACTATTGTCAGGCTTTAATAATTTCTTATTTGGGTTATTATAAAAGATTATTAATTGGTTTTCCTTCCTTCATTTCTCCATATTCCCACCAGTGATATCTGAAACACAAGATATTTATCTTTCAGTCCTTAAAGTCCTTTACCTCTATAGGATAAAGGTCAAATAAAGAATAAGGGTCAAACTCCTTAGCATGACATAAAGGTTACCACTTGGACCCTGGTGGCATATCTACCTTTATTTCTGGTGTGAGTAATAACTATAGCTCCTTATTTTATATAATATATGCCTGTTAGTCTGAGTGGCTTCTTCAGTCATACCTGCTCAATGATTGAATTTACAAATGTAAATAAAATTCTTTATTTTACAATTGTGCTTTTTTCAGTGAGGATGAGGATGATGACCTTCAGTATGCCGATCATGATTATGAAGTACCACAACAGAAAGGATTAAAGAAACTCTGGAACAGAGTAAAATGGACAAGAGATGAGGTGATTATCTGATAAGGTTTATTCATTTCATACCTGTCTTTATTAATGCTATTATAGATATGAGAAATATTTTAAAATAACACATAAGAAAAGTTACCTACCAATTTACTTTCACATTATTTTTCTTCAACTAGAGGCATGAATAGTGGATTGATGTTGAAACTGATGGAAACAGTTTAGTAGAACTTGTATTGTGGTGGCTTTAGTCCTTCTAAAAATGGTAAATGGTAAATGGTAAATGGTCACCAGATATGACATGAGAGAATTAGAGGATTATCTATATTCAGGGATAGAAGAATAAGGTAGGGGAAAGCTTTCTAATATTCATACCTGTTTTAATAGGATGATAAGTTAAAGAAGTTGGTTGAACAACATGGAACTGATGATTGGACTCTAATTGCCAGTCATCTTCAGGTAAGGGAAACATTATATTTCTACATATAATGGATGATTTAGGTAATTGGGTTCAATTTGCTGTTTTTTAAAAATGTGTCTATATTATTTTAGATTTAGATTTCCTTCCTAAAAAGATCTCTAATCCTGGTCCTCCTCCAGTTGCCAATGGCTTAGAAAGTCTGATTTTTCTAGTAATTATTTTATCCACAGGACCTAAAAAGATTACTGATCTAAAACAAAAATGTTACTAAGTTTGAGTAGGTCTTTAAAAATAATTGCTGATAAATGTTAAAACATTTTGAGAGCAGTTAACAATGTTGAATGTTTGATAGCTAATTAATAAAATCAGAAAAGTCTCTGGAAAAGTTTTTCATAAAATGCTTACATTTTAAAGTGTTAATTGATTTTTTATTTTAGAAAAACTTACTGTTCACCATATTACTTACTATTTACATACTTTTATTAGCTTATGATTTTATAATTTACAAAGTATTTTTGTATGTATGACTTTTGTTTGCTCCTTACTACACTGTAGGTACTGAGGCAGATTATTGATATTTCAATTTTTGTATTGACTGGCTACTTTGGGTTTCAGAAATCATGTTACCTATGTTCTTTTCATATTGTTATGATGCCTTTTAATATAACCTTAAAATTGAAAACAAATGATGGAAAGAACAGTTTTTGAGTCAGTCTGAGTTGTGTTCAAATGTCGACTCTACTTGGCCTCTTTTATCTGCATCTTTCTTATCTATGGTATATAAGTAATAGTACTGTTTTTGTAGTATTTTTGTGAGAATTAGAAATAACATATAGGCATAGTACCAGACATTTAAAAGATGTTCGGTAATGGAAGCTAAATCCAAAAAGTTATTTACGTTAGTTTTATCAGTTTAACTTCAATGATATAACAGCACATAAAGTGAACAGAGAAATGCTACAAGAACATACAGGAACAACCTGATTATTTTGAAGAAAGTGATAGCCTTAAAATGGATCAGCATTGATGTACAGAAGCCAAAAATGAAGCTCAATTTTAATAAACATAATTTGAAGTCAAATAGGCACAAAGACGGAGCTATTGGTAAACAAAGTATTTGTCTCTATCATACCTTTATACACTTCTAAATTATCTATAACTGTGTACAAGGCCTGTTTGGAAAAAGTCCAGCTATTGTTAATATAATGAGAATGGTTTGCTCAACATCGATGTAACCTGGCAGTTAAGTAGAGTGGACTGGAATATGCATGTGTGAACAATGACAACTTCACTGTACTAGTCAGTGGAGGCAGTAGACACCATTAAGTGAGCATGTGTATTGTGTGGCTGTTACATTCAAAATGACTGAGTGAGTAGAGCATCAAATCTGCATCAAATTTTGTGTTAAGTTTGAACATTCCCCTGCGGAAACTATTCAAATGATTCAGAAGGCTTTTGAGGACAATGCAATGAGTGCAGTGCAAATAAAAGTGTGGCACAAATGCTTCAAAGATGGTTGAGAATCTGTTGAAAGTGATCCATGTTCTGGAAGGCCTGCAACAAGCAGAACACCTGAGAATGTTAAACATGTATGGGCTTCAATGAACAAAGATTGATGACTGATGGTGCGAGAACTAGAAGCTGCTTTGGGGATTCCAAAAACTACTGTGTCTGAGATTTTGATACAGGATCTTGGCACGAAAGTTGTGGCAAAATTGGGTTTGTGGCTTCTGCTGTCAGACCAGAAGGAACATCGTGCTGCAGTTGCTAATGACTTGATTCAAACTGCTACCAATGAACCAGATTTCCTCAAGAAGGTCATAATCAGAGATGATTCATGGGTCTGTGGTTATCTGGAAACAAAGGCCAAGTTATCCCAATGGAAGTTGCCTGGTTCTCCATGCCCGAAGAAGGCACTGCAAATTCACAGCAAGATCAAGACCATGTTAAACTGTGTTTTTTTAATTTGGAAGGTGTTGTCCATCATGAGTACACCCATTCAGGCCAGACAATTAATAATGAGTACTACCTTAATGTTCTTCGTTGCTTGAGACATGCAGTACGATGAAAATAGTTGCATCTATAGGCAACTGGTGATTGGCAGCTTCATTATGACAAGTGCCAGCTCATGCATCACGTCTCTTGCAGTTTTTTGTTAAAACACCAAATCACTCAGGTAACTTAGCATCCCCTACAGCCCAGATTTGCTGCCCTGTGACCTCTGGCTTTTCCTAAAACTAAAATCACCTTTGAAAGGGAAGAGTTTCAGACCATGAGATTCAGTGAGTTCCCAAGATGCCTACTTTGAAGGGGACTGTGGTGTCATTGTCCTATGTACAATGTTCCTTGTCTCTTCTTCAATAAGTGTCTCTATTTTTCATATTACATGGTAGGATACATTCTGGATAGACCTTGTATATTAACTAATATCTTTGTAAACTGTGACTCACTAATGAAAAGTTACTGTTGTTCTTATTGTCATCATCATAAAACATAGGAGTTTCTAGGTCATGAATTGACTAAAATAAGGCTTCATTTATTATTATTTCTAGAGCTTGAGATGTTTCTACATAAGGTTTTTCATTTTTATTTTAAGCTTCAACAATTAAATGATTTAACTGATATTTAATGCGCATCTCCTATGTAGATATGCTTAGTTTTTTCTTGATAACTTGGGAGGGTCATCATTTATAAACATCCTTTAAGTACCATTCAGTAGTCTGGCAATGTCTTTAAGGGTTTTTTAGTGTGTAGATTTATGTACTGCTGAACTATATGAATCCAGACTGCTGTGCTGTTTTTCTTTCATCTCCTTTGCATAGTTTTCTGTTTACTTCTTTTATTTCTCAACCTTATATACATTTTTTATTGGCAGTTTTTGTATTATAGCTTTGCCGCTTGCTGTCTTATAAGACATAGTATAGAGACAAATACTTTAATTTCAAGTACATATTGTTGTTATTTATAGTCTAAATCCTGCCACTACTTTAATTAAAAAAGAAGTGGGCCCTGACTGGTGTGGTAACCCAGGTCCCTGTTTGGGGGCGTGCAAGAGGCAAATGATGTACAGTATTTGTTTTGTACATTGATGTTTCTCTTCCTCTCTTTCTCCCTCCTGTTCCCTCTCTCTAAAAATAAATAAATCTAAAAAAAAAGAATTGGGACACAGGCATATAAAAGAAACATTATTTGTTTAAGGAATGCTTTTGAATATATTATCCTTGAGGACTATGTTTTTAAGGTTGTAATACATAAATTTTGGAAGACAGCTGTTCAATAACAATATCATCTAAATTCTTTCAGAATCGTTCTGATTTTCAGTGTCAGCATCGATGGCAGAAAGTTTTAAATCCAGAATTGATAAAGGGTCCCTGGACTAAAGAAGAAGATCAGAGGGTAATTATGTTCATATTCTTTTTTTTTCCCACTGGGTAGGTAAATTAGCTTTTTTTCTTCCCAGTACATTATTTTGACACATAAAGTATACATTTAAATTACTTTGATTTTGTTCTCTGGGTGCTGCTTGCATAAGAATTGTTAGTTGTGTCTTGAAATGTAGTTTTAAATGAATTCAGTCGAACCAAGTTTATGTAGAATGAATTATACATGTAGAATTTTCGAGAGTTTGGTTTGTGGGAGTAAAAAATACCAGCAGCTTAGCACCTTGTTTAGAGCTTAGGTTAGTAAAATTTGGAGTTTAGTTTCTTTTTTGAAAATTGAGTTAACATTTTAAAAATAATTTTATTTTATCTGATAATATTATATGTAAGGAAGTCATTCTCAACTTTCCCTTTTGACCTGTAATGTGCCCCCAAATAAGACATATCAAAGCATCACATTTCCAAAGTGTTGGATAATTTAACCAAAGTTTAATATTTGTATTATGTAAGCTTTGTATTATGTAAGTCTGAGAAAAATGGGAGAATTTCTGTCCTCCACTTGGAATTACCCTTTAGTTCATATCCCTTATGGCATAAAAATTGTTAATGTAGTTGAAGAATTAGAGTATTTTTATTTCCACTCAAAAAAGTTACTTCATTAAGCTCAGAATTGATTTAATTTATTTGATGGCTAATGATAAGTTTTAAAATGTGTGAGCTAGATCCTTTCCGTTTGAGAAAGAAAGAAGTGAAAAGATAGTAAGTGTAGATCCTTCTTGTTTCCAAACTGCTTTATTTGGCTTCCAGCTGAAATTTCTGTTTTTTTAAAGATGTTAAGACTAGAAAATGCATAAGTCTCAACATTTTTACTGCTTTTAAATGAAAACTATTTAACTTACAAGTCACTTTAATTAGTGACTTTAATTAGTACCTTGTATTTTAAATAAGTTTGGGAATAATTTTTGAACTGGGCAAATACTGAAGCAGTATTTATTGGTAAAATTGTTTTTTAAGTTGTGGTAGCTTGGATTTAATGCATTTTTTAAAAAAGTATTTATGAGTTATGTTTTTAACATTCTGTCAAGGTAATGCTTTTTTAAACTTTGTTTTTCTGTTTCTTAGGTTATTGAATTAGTTCAGAAATATGGCCCAAAAAGATGGTCTTTAATTGCAAAACATTTAAAAGGAAGAATAGGCAAGCAGTGTAGAGAAAGGTGGCATAATCATCTGAATCCTGAGGTAAAGAAATCTTCCTGGACAGAAGAGGAGGACAGGATCATTTATGAAGCACATAAGCGGTTGGGAAATCGTTGGGCAGAAATTGCCAAACTACTTCCTGGAAGGTGCTTATATAAATGTATAAACATTTTTCTGTATTTAGACTTGATCTTTATTATGTTATTATTAAATATATTTGCAAGTACCCCATGACTTTTATTTTACTTATACTTAAAATTGAGACTACAATACAAGCAACCTTTTGGGACTATTTGTAATGTATATGGGGTAAGGGATATAATTACTTTTTAATGAAATATTTGATAGTAGTAATTTGTACAACAAAATGATAAGCCTTTGGGTTATGAACATTTGCTGCACTCCCCAAATTATGTTTACATATCAGTGCCAATCAGGCAGACAGTCTGTTTTCAAACTTGGTTGTAGTGGAATCTGAATCAAAGAGATTTCTTTTGTATTGGATTCTGTGCATAAGCCCAGAAAATAACAAATATACTGGCTGAAATAAACTATGAAAGTACATTAGAGAAAATACAATTTGTAATTAATTATGATATGATTCAAATCATGGGAACACCCATGTGGCTAAAGTATAGAAGTTCCCTCAGAGGCAGTGATGTGCTGTGTATACTATATGTCACACTGGTTCATATATTTTCTAGTAGTACAGTAGACCAACAACCTCTGGAAAATCTATACCTCATTTAGAAGATATGCTGTTTTTTTTATTGTTGTAATTTCTATTTGTATAGTACTTCACTGTTTATAAAATACTTTTATATATATTCTTAATTAATCTTCATAGACTTGTGAAATACACAGAGCAAACATTGCTGTTTTCATAGATAAAGAAATTAAAGCACAGTGTTAAGTTTTTTTTTTCAAGTTACTGAACCTGGTCTAGGAACTTTTGATGTTTTTAATCTCATACATCTTTTTACTGTCCATAGAACCTAGCCTCATACCTTGACATAAATTAGGTTCTCAGTAAATGTTTGTAGACTTTATGAAAGATGGAACTTATGTTACAAGTATCTGTAGATTGAGGATTTACATTTATATAAAGGAAAATTAGGTAAAAAGGGAATCCATGAACTTGTTTCCACAGGTATTTTGTTCTAGGAAGTGAAAAGGAGTGCTGGGATTCTGTAATTTGTGGTTGCTTTTCATAGCCATGTTTGTACCTGGCTTCAAGGTCTTTGTCCTCACCACGCCCTTAAACTGAAATGGTCTTTTTTTCTGTTCTTGTGTGGTTGGTTTATCCTTGTCATTCAGGTCTTAGCTTCACTGACACCTCCCAGAGGTCTTTCTGGACTGCCTAATCAAAATTGCCCTTTTTACTCATTTTTCTTGTCCTACTTTAATGATCTGCATTGCAGTGGTATCTTCCATATTATATATTTAGTTTTTTTGTTTTTCTCTTCTTCCTCCTTCCCTTCTGCCACACTTCCAATGAGAATGTAAATTCCATGAGAGAGGGACTTTGTCTTCTTTACTGCTATAACTCAAGTGCTTAGAACTGTGCCTGACACACAGTTTGTCTTTTTAATTAAACAAGTATCTAATTTTACATAAATGTTGTAAAATGCACTTTGTTCATTTTATACAGTATTAAAATTTGTTGAATCCTCTTTTTTAAAAAAATTACACACTTTCATTTTATAGGACTGATAATTCTATCAAAAACCATTGGAATTCTACTATGCGAAGAAAAGTGGAACAGGAGGGCTACTTACAAGATGGAATAAAATCTTCATCTAAACTTCAACACAAACCTTGTGCAACAATGGACCACTTGCAAACCCAGAATCAGTTTTACATACCTGTTCAGGCACATATTTTTAATACCTTTATTATTTCTAAAATTAAGTTGCTATATGGGAAGGTGTTTGGTTTCTTAATAGGACAAATACAACATATATTTAGGGGAATAGATATTTGAATTTCTGAGCTAGAAAAATATTCCATAACTGCTGTTAAATAATTAATGGAGGTTTATCTCTACTTGTTTTGATAAATATTTTGGGCACAAACTCATTAAAATGTTTCCTTTTATTGATATATGTAATTTTTACATGTAAAAATGTAATATGTACATTTCCTAGTAGTATCATTCTTTGAATCTTCGTTTATGATTCAAAGCTAATGATTTCTCTGCTTTAACATCTATTGTAATTTTTAGAAAATCTTTGTAGTTGTAGTATTCCTTATCCTTAAGATGTGTGTATATAAAATGGTTTAAAGGAGAACTTAGTAAAGTGTCGTTCAAGCCATCATTTTAGTAGGTGTGGTAAATAACTGGTTCTTTGACAGCATTGAATGTTGCTTCCCACTACTAACCAACCAGTTGAGTGACTTCAGTCTTCATTTAAAAATGCTCATTAGAGTAGAGATTACCCAAGTCCATAATGGGGCAGCTCTATTTTCTGTATAGTGCATTTTCCTACCTTTAAGCAATTAGTTTAGTAGGAGTTTTCATAAGGCTTGTTTTACATTTTCCTGTCTAGCTTTCTGTCATGCTGCTGCTGTTCATGTTGAGCAATTTGTGGTTCTTATCACAATGTAAAAATTAAGCCAGAACTTAATAGTACCTACCAAAAGACAAAATTTGGCTAGGTGTTAAGAATTTATGCTTAGAAAAAAAATTATCCTCAGTATGCCTCAGAATTGATTTTATTCCATTAAATGGACATTTTTAAAGACATATTTTTAAAAGAAAGTAATGACATCTTAATTTACAGATGGAAAGACATATGAAGACATAATAGTTATCTGCTTATACTCAACACCTGCAGGGGTGTCCAACCTGTAGCCCGTGGGCTGCACACGGCTCAAGGTGGCTATGAATGTGGCCCAACACAAAATCGTAATTTTTTTTTTTTGCTCATCAATTTCATTAGTGTTTGTGTATTTAATGTGTGGCCCAAGACAACTTTTTTTTTCCAGTGTGGCCAGACATGCCAAAAGGTTGGACACCCCTACCAGGTTTTTATTGTCTGTTTCTTTACATTTTTCTTTAGTGTCCTAGATTTCAGCAGCATAAACTGAAAAACCTATCTTAGAAAGTTTATTTAAATTTTTTAACTCATAGATAATTTTAAAAAAATTTGGGGGGCTAAGGGAGGGTTTAACAGTCTCAAGAAAACTATATTGGAAAGATAAGAAATGCACTTTAAGAATTATTTCCCTTATATTTAATAATAATTAAAAGATGTATATATTCATAGTTCAATTCATTTAACATACTAAAAAGATAATTCTAATTTTTACTTGGAAGAAAAAAAAGGATTGATTTGAAATACTGTCACAGATTTTAATGAAATATGTGAAAGATATATTTCTAATCCATTAGTTACCAAATTGATTGATAACTGATTCTAATCAGGTATTGTGAAAATTAAGTTTAATGTTAGAAGTTATGTATAATGATCCTATATTAGTGATTTAGGTAGTCAATTATGGGAAATATACTCTATCACACTTAGGTTTATTATATTTTAAGGTTTTAAGAAATACCTTCTCATATTTCTTTCCACCACTACACACTAAATTTGCATGCAACTTCAAAATTCTTAGTACAGATGCTTTAGAAAAGAAGAATAATTCTTAGTCTATTGTCAGAGTATTAAAAAGTACATGAGTAATTCTGATTTTTATCTAAGCAAGCAATATAAGAAACCTCTATTTTCATATCTTTCTACCCAGAGGTGGCCACGGGATGGTGGTAGGAGTAAGAGATACAAATGTTGAAAAATGTGCTTTAGTCCTATCTTTATGAATCTTCATAAGGACTAATCCCTTCTGCTAAAAGATAGGAACAAAATTACTTTGTCTTCTCCAGGAAATAGAGCAATCCTAATAGCAGATTTAAAAATACTTGGTGGATATTGTAGTTAATAGAGTAATTGGCTGATGAATCTAGGCCAGACAATTCTCACGTTTCATCTAGAAGGTAGATCTTTCCTGTGTTAAGACTTTTAATCAGACCCTAAGAACAGAGATGTACTTAGTAGATAAGAAACTATTGTTGGTATGAAAATATAAAGTTAACAAAAATACTTTCTGACTTTTTAATGTTCATATTTTATCAAGAGTTTTTGTGCTTTGTCTCAGATTTTAAAATGTTATATGTACAATATTAATGATATAATTACTTTTAGATTCCAGCTTATCAGTATGTGTCACCTGAAGGCAATTGTATAGAACATGTTCAGACTTCTGCCTTTATTCAGGTAACTATTTATAATAAAACAAGGGAAACCATTTCAGACATTTTTGAAAGTCTAATAGTGCCTGTTTCCTCATGTATAAAACTAGGACAAAAACAATACTATCTGTCCCACTTACTTTGTGTATGACAGCATTAAAGGAGAAAGTTTGTTAAGTGGGTTTGAGAAGCATACACTGCAAATGTAAAGTGGATGACACCACCGATAAGGTGGTTCTTTTATTTTCCAACTTAATGCATTTAGGTTGTGAATGGACATATTTTTGCTAAATTAGTTAAGAATGTGTACTAAAATTTAATAAATTGAAGAAGCATACTCCAGACACAAATTTTTAAATTGATATAGATGATGCAGTGTACATTTTTTATGTATTTATTTCCCCCAATTCTTTTCTGTTCTATTGTAAATATTTGCCATCACCTCTTTAGATTCCAGAAGGATTGTGATTTTTGGATACTTGGGATTTAGTAGTATTAAGCTTTAGAAAAAATAGATTTATATTGTGTAGAAGAAAATAAAAATTAGAACACTAATAATAAAGTAATTATATAAGTAGCCTGTTTTTTATTTAACTTATTTTAGCAACCCTTTGTTGATGAAGATCCTGATAAGGAGAAAAAAATAAAGGAACTTGAGTTGCTTCTTATGTCAGCTGAGAATGAAGTTAGAAGAAAGAGAGTTCCAGCGGTAAGAAATTAGGTTAAATGTTTAGATTTTATTGTTAGAATCTTTTATATGCTTTATAATTTTTCTTAGCATTGACTTTCATATGTCAACAAGTGGAAAACATATTCATTATGACTTAAGATTTTTATATAGACTAAAAAAATAGTCATTTTAATTTGCAACTTTAAGGTTACTTGATTTTTCTTAATTGTATCTTTTTCCATTACCATTTAGTCCCCTGATATCCCCCATAATTACCATACTGTTGTCTGTGTCCATGTGTCCTTTTTTCCTTTTTGCTCAGTTCCTCTACCCCTATCCTCCCCACTATTAACTGTCATCCTGCTATGAGTCTGTCTCCATTTTGCTTGTTAGTTCAGTTTGTTCATTAGATTCCACAAATGAGTGAAATCATATGGTATTTATCTTTCTCTGACTGACTTATTTCACTTAGCTCGATGTTCTCCAGGTCCATCCATACTGTCACAAAGGGTAAAACTTTCTTCTTTCTTACAGTAAAGTAGTATTCCATTGTGTAAATGTCCTTTACAGGTAGTTGTTTTATCCACTCATTTGCTGGTGGGCACTAGGGCTGCTTCCATATCTTGGCTATTGTAAATAATGCTGCAATGAACACAGGGGTGCTTCTGTTCTTTTAAATTAGTGTTTTGGGTTCCTTTGGCTATATTCCCAGAAGTGGGATCACTGGGTCAAAAGGCAGATCCATTTTAAATTTTTTAATATATCTCTATACTGCTTTCCACAGTGGCTATACCAGTGTGCATTTCCACCAGCTGTGCACTAGGGTTCCCCTTTCTCCACATCCTCACCAGCACTTGTTGTTTATTGATTTATTGATGATAGCCATTCTTACAGGTGTGAGATGATAGCTCATTGTGGTTTACTTTGCATTTGTCTGATGATTAGTGACATTGAGGATCTTTTCATATGTCTATTGACCATCTGTATGTCCTCTTTGGAGAAGTGTCTATTCAGGCCCTTTGCCCATTTTTAAATTTGGTTATTGGTTTATTTTTTTTTGGTGTTGAGTTTTGTAAGTTCTTTATAAATTTTGGATATTAACTCCTCATCAGGTGTATCTGTCAGTGTGTTCTCTTATTCTGTGGGTTGTGTTTTTATTTCATTGATGTTTTCCTTTGCTATGCAAAAAGTTTTTAGTTTGATGTAGTCCCTTTTTTTTATAGTTTAATGTATTTTAATAGCAAACTTACAGGAACAGCACAGAAGACAGACAACATTAAAAACATACTTGCATGTAGGACAACTCAGTTAGAAAAGTATAGTGAATGGATGGAATCTACTGTATGATAAAAATTCTCCAAACACCATTTAGTTGCCATCAATAAGAAATTTACTTGTTTTAAAAAAATCCAAATGCTGTCATTGTCCAGAAAAATTTAACAGGTTTATTTATATTGTTATAAAGTTGAACTGCTTAAAACTTGTTCACTGAAACACCTTGACTTGCATTAATGCTTTATGTCCCTGCATGTATATTTAAAAAATTCACACACAAATGAAAATGGAAAAATGGCAAATACCTGATTTCTGTCCCCTATTTTCCACTTGCAATCATATACTTAGGTACCTTTTTGACCACATGGAAAAAAAAAAATCTAACGTTCAGAACTACCAATAACAGGAAGAAGAGAATTTTTTTTTAAAGAATGAAATGTTTCCCATCATAGTGGATTCTTAAGCACGTTCTCCACGTATGCGGAATGCTAGCTTGGATGTCTTTTGGCATAATTGTTACACGTTTGGCATGGACAGCACACAGGTTGGTGTCTTCAAAAAGGCCAACCAGATAGGCTTCACTTGCCTCCTGCAAAGCACCAATAGCTGCACTCTGGAAGCGCAGATCTGTTTTGAAGTCCTGAGCAATTTCTCGCACCAGACGCTGGAAGGGAAGTTTGCCAATCAGAAGTTCAGTGGACTTCTGATAACGTCTAATTTCACGAAGTGCCACAGTACCAGGCCTGTAACGATGAGGTTTCTTCACCCCTCCAGTAGAGGGTGCACTCTTGTGAGTGGCTTTGGTAGCCAGTTGCTTCCTCGGTGCTTTACCACCGGTCGATTTGCGGGCAGTCTGCTTTGTAGAGCCATGGTATAGGGACCTCTTTACTTAACCCCCTTCTCCTTTGGCTGGAGCTTAGCGACCTGGAGGAGGTGCTGGCTTTAGAGAGCAACAGCGGCTGCAAACACACTGATGTAGTCCCATTTGTTTATTTTTTCTTTTGTTTCCGTTGCCTGGGGAAATATAGCTGATTGAATAATGCTACCAACAATATCCAAGATTTTGCTGCCTATGTTTTCTTCTACAGTTTTTATGATTTGGGCTCTGACATTCAAGTCTTTAATCCACTTTGAATTTATTCTTGTGTGTGGTGTAAGAAGGTGGTCCAGTTTCATTTTTATGCACATATCTGTCCAATTTCCCCAACACCATTTATTGAATAAACAATCTTTAATCCATTGTATGTGCTTGGTTTTTTTGTCAAATATTAATTGATTCTGAAGGTGCAGGTTTATTTTTTGGCTCTCCATTCTGTTCTGTTGATCTATATGTCTGTTTTTATGCCAGTACCATACTGTTTTGATTACTGCAGTCTTACAGTACAGTTTGGTATTAGGTAGTGTGATTCCTCCAACTGTTCTTTCTCAGTATTGCTGTTGCTCTGCAGGGCCTTTTGTGGTTCCATATAAATTTTTGAAACATTTTTTTCTAGTTCTGTAAAATACATCATTGGAATCTTCATAGAAATTGCACTGAATCTATAGATTACTTTGGATAGTATGGACATTTTAATAATGTTAATTTTTCTTACACATGAACTCAGTATGTGCTTCCACTTACTTGTATCCTCTTCAATTTCTTCAGTGTCTTATCATTTTCCAAGTACAGGTCTTTTACATCCTTGATTACGTCTATTCCTAGCTATTTTATTCTTTTTGAAGAAATTATGGATTTGATTGTTTTCATAATTTCCTTTTCTGTTTGTTATTGCCATATAAAAATGCTATGAAGAAAAATCACATTTAGATTTTATCCTCTCCAAAGAAATTTTTATGTGGATGTTGTTTTTTGTTACCAGGTGTGAAAACTATTGTCTAAGATTTGGTTGCTGAGAACTAGTAGTATTAAATTAGGATAAATGGTAATCATTCTAGCAAAGTTAAACAGGCTATTTTAGATGGATTAAGAGAAAAAAAAGTTTGTGCTTAAAGAAGTTTTAAAACTTTAATATCCTGAGACTTTTTACATTTAAGAAGGGTTTTCCTTGGTTTGGGGCTGAATGAGGCATGGAAACTACTATAGAATTACTAACCTGAGATCTTGAAATAGTATTATTAGGTAGTTGGTGATGTCTTTACACCATTAAAAAGAATATTAATAAAATGACATTTGTTAATTGTAATGGACAAGATATGTTCCATAGGAAGAGTAGTTTTTATTTTGAAACTATAAAAACCATGGGCAAATAGGAAGACCTGAAGAGTACTTATTTTACTTCTTTTTATTTTGTTTTTTGTTTTATTAAATATATTTTATTGATTAAGCTATTACAGTTGTCCCATTTTTTTCTCCCCTTTATTCCCCTCTGCCTTGTAACCCCCCTCCCAACATCATTCCCCCCTCCTTTAGTTCATGTCCATAGGTTGTACATTTAAGTTCTTTGACTTCTCCATTTCCCATACTATTCTTAACCTCCCCCTGTCTATTTTGTACTTAACATTTATGCTTCTTATTCCCTTTACCCTTCCCCCATTCTCTACCCCCACCCCCACTGATAATGTAGGTAACTGTCTCCTTTTCTCTTGCTTGTTTTAAGATTTTCTCCTTATCTTTAATCTTGGGTAATGTAATTATGGTGTGCCTTGGCGTGTGCTTCCTTGAGTCTAACTTTTTTGAAACTCTATGAGTTTCCTGGACTTTCTGTAAAGTCTCTTTCTGAAGTCTCTTTCATTCATCAGATTAGGGAAGTTCTCCTTCATTATGTTTTCAAATACGTTTTCAATTTTTTGCTCTTCCTTTTCTCCTTCTGGCACCTCTATGAGTCAGATGTTAGAACGTTTAAAATTGTCCTAGATGTTCCTAAGCCTCTCCTCATTTTTTTGAATTCTTGTTTCTTCATTCTGTTCTAGTTGAGTGTTTATTTCTTCCTTCTGCTCCAAACTGTTGATGTGAGTCTCGGTTCCTTCCCTTCACTGTTGGTTCCCTGTACATTTTCCTTTATTTCACTTTTTATAACCTTCACTTTTTCCTCTTTTTTGCGACCATACTCAACCATTTCTGTGAGCATCCTGATTACTAGTGTTTTGAACTCTGCATCTGGTAGGTTGGCTATCTCTTCATTGCATAGTTGTATTTTTTCTGGAGCTTTGATCTGTTCTTTCATGTGGGTCATATTTTTTTGTCTTTGTGCACCTGTTACATGGTAAGGGGAGGAGCCTTAGTTATTTGCCAGGGCAGGGCAACCCACATTGCTTCATTGTGACACTATCTGTGGGGGAGGGGCCAAAGAGGGAACAATGCTGCTTGTTCAGCTTTCTGTGGGCTTTCGGTCACTTCCTCTGCTACACACAAGCAAATTGAGCCCTTCTGGTGCTGATTCCAAAGTAGGTGGGTTTGTGTAAATTCTAGGACCCTGTGGGTCTCTCCAATAAACTCTCCTGTGAGCCTGGGAGTTTCTTCTGCCTCATCCCCCACAGGTTTTTTCAGTCACAGGTTTTGAGGCTTTATTTCCCTGTACTGGGACCCTGGGTTGCATGGTCTGTCTTACTCCCCAGTTGTTCTTCCCAGTTTATCTGCATGCAAATGTGGGATAGCCTGTAGCCTCCACCTTGCCCGGTCTGCCAGCTGCCAACTTGCATGCTCTGGTCCTCCAGCCACCACCTTGTCATACATCTTCTCAGCCCAAGCTGCTTGTCTCTGCCCCTCCTACCAGTCTGGATGAATGTTTCTTCTTTAACTCCTTGATTGTTGGACTTCCATATAGTTCGATTTTCTGGCAGTTCTGGTTATTTTATGTTTTTGAATTTGTTGTCCTTCTTTTGGTTGTGCAAGGAGGCAAAGTGTATCTAACTACGCTTCCCTCTTGGCCCTACTTTTTTTTTCTTTCTTTTTTTATTGTTGTTCGAATACAGTTGTCTTCATTTTCCTGCCACCACTTTTCCCTACCCCTCCCACCCCACCTCTCACCCTCCATCCTTCCCCACTTTGGCTTTGTCTATGGATTCTTTTATATGTTCCTTGATGACTTTTTCCCTTCTTTCCCCTTTTATCTCCCTCCCCCCTCCCCTCTGGTTACTGTCAATTTGCTCTTAATTTCTATGTCTCTGGTTATATTTTGCTTGCTTGTTTGTTTTGTTGATTAGGTTCCATTTATAGGTGAGATCATATGGTATTTGTCTTTCGCTACGTGGCTTACTTCACCTAGCATAATGCTCTCCAGTTCCATCCATGCTGTTGTGAAGGGTAGGATCTCCTTCTTTCTTTCTGTTGTGCAGTATTCCCTTGTGTAAATGTACCACAGGTTTTTGATCTACTCATTTACTGGTGGGCACCTAGGTTGCTTCCAGTACTTGGCTTTGGTAAATTGTGCTGTTATGAACATTGGGGTGCATAAGTTCTTTTGAATTAATGTTTCATGATTCTTAGGGTATAATCCCAGCAATGGAATTGCTGGGTCAAAAGGCAGTTCCATTTTTAGTTTTTTGAGGAAATTCCACACTGTTTTCCATAGTGGCTGAACCAGTCTGCATTCCTACCAACAATGTACTAGGGTTCCCTTTTCTCCACAACCTCACCAGCACATATTATTTGTTGATTTATTTATGATGACCATTCTGACAGGTATGAAGTGGTATCTCATTGTGGTTTTAGTTTGCATCTCTCTGATGGCTAGTGATGCTGAGCATCCTTTCACATATCTCTGGGCTCTCTGTATGTCCTCCTTGGAGCAGTGTCTGTTCAGGTCCTTTTCCCATTTTTTAATTGGGTTGTTTGTCTTTCTGGAGTGGAATTGTGTGAGTTCTTTATATATTCTGGAGGTCATACCCTTGTCTGATATGTCATTGGCAAATATATTTTCATATACAGTTGGTTCCCTTTTCATTTTGCTGATGTTTTCTTTAGTCATGGAGAAACTTTTTATTTTGATAAAGTCTCATTTGTTTATTCTTTCCTCTATGTCCCTTGCTCTAGGGGACATATCAGTGAAAATATTGATGTGTGGAATATCTGAGATTTCCCTCCCTATGTCCTCCTCTAGGACTTTTATGATGTTGTGACTTATATTTAAGTCTTTTACCTATCTTGAGTTTATTTTTGTGTATAGTGTAAGTTGGTGGTTGAGTTTCATTTTTTTGCATGTGGCTGTCTAGATCTCCCAACACCATTTGTTGAAGAGGCTATTTTTACTCCATTTTATGCTTCTGCCCCCTTTGTCGAATTTTAATTGACCATAGAAACTTGGGTTTATTTCTGGGTTCTCTATTCTGTTCCATTGATCTATGTGTCTGTTCTTATGCCGGTACTAGACTGTTTTGATTACAGTGGCTTTGTAATATAGTACAGTGTCAGGTGTGGTGATGCCTTCTACTTTGTTGTTCTTTCTCAAAATTGCTGTGGCTCTTTGGGATTGTTCATGGTTCCATATTAATTTTTGAAATGCTTGTTCTATGTCTGTGAAACGTGTCATTGGTATTTTAATAGGGATTGCGTTGAATCTATAAATTGCTTTGGGTAGTATGGACAGTTTGATGATGTTAATTGTCCCAGTCCATAAACACAGTATATACTGTGTGTTTTTTTATTTGTATCTTCCTTAATTTCTTTTTTCAGTGTTGTATAGTTTTCTGAGTACAGGTCTTTTACTTCCTTGGTTAGGTTTATTCCTAGGTACTTTATTTTTCTTGTTGCTATAGCAAATGGGATTTTTTTCCTGATTTCTGTTCCTGATATTTCATTATCAGTGTACAAAAATGCCTTTGATTATTTTTCAGATTGTAGCCTATCATTTTTAACCTAATAGGAAAATATAGCTAGCTAAAAGAGTTGGCATTTTGCATTAAAAAGGAGAAAGTATATTTTTAAAAAGAATTTGCTATCTGAAATCCACTCTCATAAAGATCTGTTTTTTAAAAAAATATTTTATTTGTTTTTAGAGAGAGTGGAAGGGAAGGAGAAAGAGAAACATCAATGTGTGGTTGTCTCTTGCACACCCCCCACCAGGGACCTGGCCCACAACCCAGGCATGTGCCCTGACTGGGAATCACACCGGCGACCCTTTGGTTCGCAAGTCAGCACTCAATCCACTCAGATACGCCAGCCAAGGCCAAGATCTGGTTTATAAGGAGACTGGAAATTCCTGATTCTAGAGGAAATTTGCTACACCCAGCAAAATAGACTCCATACACATATAAAGTACTCATTTTTAAGAATTATGTGATAATAATGGCTACTGTTTTACTTATTATACATACATTATAGATGTGTTATATGAATTTTTGGTAATGCTTATATTAATTCTTTGAAGTAGGTGGTTTATTGTTAGGGATTTGGATTCAGGTGTGTATGATTGTAGACCTGTGGTTTTTCCAGTGGGCCCAGTGATCTCTGGGCCCAATGAATATGGTTTAAAACTCTCTTCATAGACTCTATGCTAATGAAATAAGATTGCTTTACTTTCTTACATTTTTAAGGAAACTTTAAATAGGTGGGACTTATGTTGTAACAGTGTTGGAAACTTGTTTCTTTATCTTACTTAAAACATAACATTTTCTTACTGTGACTCTAGCACATTCTAGCAATTTTTATTTTTAATAGTAATAGGTACCATTTATTGAGTGCTTCCTATGGACTGGGGTAATGTTCTCTATAAAATACAGTAGTTGCTAACCACATTTGATTTTAAGTAAGATTTAAAAACTCAGCTCCTCAGTTGTAGCCACATTTTGGCTGCCTCTGTGGTTATATTGGCTTCCTTACTGAGCAGCTTCAGATGTAAAACATTTTTGTCACATCAGAAAGTTTTACTGGACAGTGCAGTACACTTTACATATTGTGCTTCTTTTTCTTTTTTCCCCAGTATGTGTTATAATTAACAAAGAGCCCTGTGTAAGTTTAAGGTGTATAGCATAATGATTTGACTTACATGTGATGTGAAATGATTACCACTTAAGTTTAGTTAACATCTATCATCTCATATAGCTGCAAAGACAAGAAAAAGATAAAAAATTTTTCTTTTTCGTAAGTGCTCTTAGGATCTACTCTCTTAACAGCTTTCAAATTACATATTCTTTTTAAATTATGGCTCTTCCAGGTCTCTTCTCTTGTTTTTTATTATGAGACACTAGGAAACTAGGCTCAAAAGATAAGTATATTGCCCAGTGTACATCATTAGCAAGAGAAAGAAAAATGACGCAGTCCCTGACCTCAAAGGATATACTCTGTAATGGGAACACGGACAGGAAACAGGACGTATTTTGATAAAATAAGTCACAAAGTTTTATGGGAGCACATAGGAGAGGTGCCTAATTGAGAGTTAGGTAGTCAAGGAAGGATTCCTGGAAGAAATTCTATTTGAGCATGGTCTTGAAAGATAGGCAATGATTATATATTAGCAAAGTAAATGAACCAGGTCATTATTATACATGGAACAAGTGAAAGCATAGTCTGATGGAGTACTTACCAATGTTTAAACTTTATCTTAAATGAGGAATAGGAGTTTCCCTGGTCAGTAGGTTGCACAGCATTCTACAGATAAAGGGAGCAGCAGTATGTGCAAAGGCATTCCAGGGTAAAAAAAATAACTCATTGGGGAATCTCAAGTACTATAGTTGGGTATTTCCTGGGAGGGAGGGTGTGTCAGAAGATGAAGTTTGAAAGGTCGAGGCTAGATTCTACAAGTTTTAACTTTATGTTATATGTGCATGCTTGTATTATCTCACCATTATTTTATAAATTTTAGAATAAATTTAGTTAGAAAAAAGAGAGTCAAGATATGAAATTTAATGAAAAAATATCAGTTTTGAGGAAAGACAGAATATTTGCTATGATATTTTTAGTTGTAAAGTATGTTGTAGAAAAAAAACTCTTACTTAAAATAGAAATTTTCTGCTTAGAAAAAAAAGAATTTTTCTGCTTAGATTCAGAATGACAAATAATATTCAAATTTCTTTTGTACTTTTAGCAGCCTGGAAACTTTTCTAGCTGGTCCAGTAGTTTCCTCATGGATGACAGCACATCCAATACTCTAAACAGCCTCGAGGAGCATACTAGTGAGTTTTACAGTATGGATGAAAATCAGACTCTGACTGCTCAGCAGAATTCACCCACAAAGTTCCTGGCCGTAGAGGCAAATGCTGTGCTGTCCTCACTACAAACCATCCCAGAATTTGCAGAGACTCTAGAGCTTATCGAATCTGTAAGTTTGAAATTGTGAGATTATCAAAAGCTCAATTTTAGTTACATGGCTTCATGTTTAGAAACTCAGTTTAATGGACCCTGAGCAGTTTTATGTTAAGCATTACTTTGTATGTCATGCTTAATTTCTCTCATAGTTTGTAGTGACTTCTGGAAAAAATATATGTCTTTCTCAAGTATGTACCTTGTATAGAATTTTTAAAATGTAATATTTACCATTTTATTCTTTGTTATACAAGTTGTACAAATATGTTAGAGATAGCTGGGAACCAGAGAAAACTGTAAGGAAGAAAATTAAAATCTTTCATAAATCAAGAGTTAATAATTTGAGTTAATAATAATATTTCCTTTCAGGCTATGTTCTATACATATAAAATATACATATTCACATATTTTCAAAGCCCAATATATACTTAAATGTTTGTGGATTTTTTTCTCCACATATCATAAGCATGTCTGTTTTCTTAACTGTTTTTTTAAAGTTGAATTTTAATAGCTTCGTAGTCTATCATATGACTAACAAAATTTATTTACCCAATGTATTCTTATTGGTAATGGTGTCCAGTTTTTCAGTATTACAAACTGTAGAGTGTATTACGTAAAGCTTTATGTAAAATCATGGTTATGTCCTAGGTTAAACTGAATTTCTGGATCAAAGTATATGACCATTGACCATTTTGAAGATGTCCCATACACATTACTGGATGATTATGTAGAATTTGATAGCATTTTTCTCATGTGGAATAGAGTGTAAGGTTTTATGATGATTTGTACTCTTTGATAATAACAAAAATAATTTGTTCTTTTTACTTAAAATATGTTGACAGTAAGCTTCAGCTACTGAATTAGATAGAATATTATTTTGGGGTATTCCAAATTGGAGTCATAGTAAAACCATAATCTGTTCCTCACAAATGGTCTTGTTTTAAAAAAAAGATGAACAAGGAAGGGAAAACCTGTTTCTATTGATAAAAATGAGTAGTTAATTAACTGTGCAAATCATCCCAAGTTCAAATCAGATTTAACTAGGTTAAATAGGTTAATCAAATTTTACACTCTACAATTTGTAATACTGAAAAACTGGACACCATTACCAATAAGAATACATAGGGTAAATAAATTTTGTTAGTCATATGATTAACTTTAAGAATTTAATGTATTGCAGGATCCTGTAGCATGGAGTGATGTTACCAGTTTTGATCTTACTGATGCTGCTGCTTCTCCTGCCAAGTCCACTCCAGTTAAACTAATGCGGATTCAACACAATGAAGGTGCCATGACTCCTGTTAAACTAATGCGAATTCAGCACAATGAAGGTGCCATGGAATGTCAGTTTAATGTCAGCCTGGTTCTTGAAGAGAAAAAGAACAGTTGTAATGGTGCAGAAAGTGAGGCTGTTCCTTTAACATCCCCCAACGTGGTCAAGTTTAGTACTCCACCAACCATTCTCAGAAAGAAGAGAAGAACACGAGTGGGCCAGTCCCCTGGCAGTGAACTTAGCGATGGCTCATTCAGTGATGGCAGTAATACAGCTTTAAAACACACACCGGTGAAAACACTACCATTTTCTCCTTCACAGGTAGTAATGTTGTTTCTCTTTATCTTTCCAAATACTGATGAGCTACATTAAATTACATCTTTAATATCCTTGCTAGCAATTCATTGCTTCGATATCATATAAAAATGGATAATGTACTTAAGATGTATACCTGAGCATGCTAAGCTCTGATAAATCAGAAGGTATCTCACAAAATGTAGTAGTGGCATTAGAGTGCCTTACGATTTTTAGAGCTAAAAGAGATGTTTAACATATGTACTTCTACATCTTTAATGAGACTCATCAGGAAATAGGCCCAGAAAGGTAAAATGTTTTGTCCAAATTATCTAATGGCAGAGCTGAGCTTGGTATCAATATTCTGAGTGACTATTCAACAGATATCAGGTATATATACCCATAGTTAACTGCTCACTGTAAGAATTTCATGTGTCAGGTTTTTCTAGGGATATCAAGAACTACCTGCTTTTTCCTATAGTTATGTTCCTGGGCAGCAGATATTTATATTAAGGCAAACTGTACTTCTGTTTTTTAATGAATACTATATTCTAGGCTGTGTGCTAAATACTTTTATTACAGCATCTCAGTTAATCCTCTTTCAAAAAACCTTAGCAGGTAGGTGGAATGAAATTTAGAAGTTAAGCAAGTTGTCCTGACAGAGGTTAAATAATTTTATGGGAGTAGGACTTGGAGAGTGCTGAGATGTTATTGGAGGTGTTTAGATGTTGGGAATATGAGGAAGATCTGGCAGGACACAATTACTGCTTTCTGAAAACTCTGCCTTCCCCACCCTTCAGGAGGTGTCATTTATGTAGACAGCAATGTGAATAGTGTGATCCCCACCCCACCCCCACCCTACCCTTCCAAGTTATAAAACTCCTAGAGGAAGGGAAAATGGGCTTGGGCACAAGGGCAATTTTCTATTTATAGAACTTTACACACTAGCAATTATTGTTGAAGTGTGAAATCCAAGGCTGAGAAGGTGAGGCACGATTCTAAAGACCTTATACCCAATGGCAAAGAGCTTGGATTTTATCCTGTAATTGATGGGCATCAGTGCAGGGTTTAAAGAGGGTTTGACTGCTAATCTTAGGGGCAAGTATATTGCAAACATTAGGAACTAAAAATGATAGAGCTAGAATTAGTTCCAGTTATAAATAGCTTTACAGCAATTTCCACTTCTTCTTACCACTGCTTCTAATCTATTGGCTTCAAAAATAAATTAGTAATTCAAAATTGCATGTAAGTTAAGATCCAACGAATAAAGCTTGTCATTTGGAAATGGACTATGTGATACCAATTTTGGCTGCTCAGAGGTTCTGAGCTGTGTTGTAAATAAGCAGATTTGCCAGACAGCTGTATTTTTATCAGCAAAGCATTATTCTGAATTCAAAATATTCTCATAGGAAAGGACACTTAATGTTCTAATTGCTAGGAAGGCATTAATGAACAAAACAAAAAGTCCTGCCCTCCTGGAGCATAATTTTCATGGAGTGGAGTGTAAATGTGGTATTATTGGCAATCCTTTTCTAAGAGAGATTGGGAAATAATTTGAAAATATTATCAGCTTAATAGTTATTCAGGGATATTGATGTTCTAGAAATTGTCTTTAAACTCTCTTCTGTTTTTAGTTTTTCAACACATGCTCTGGAAATGAACAAGTTAATATAGAAAATCCTTCATTTACATCAACTCCTATTTGTGGGCAGAAAGTTCTCATTACAACTCCTCTTCATAAGGAAACAACCCCCAAAGATCAAAAGGAGAATGTAGGGTAAGTAGGTATTAAATATTTGTGTTAAAAAAAAAACCCAAGAAACACAATTTCAAGAGTAGATTTTTAGTTTTTTGTCCATTTATGCATATATCCTAGTCCCTATCCATATGGGACTTAGAATTAAAAACGAAATCATAACCTTATGTTTTATCCCCAGGAGACTGAACACCAATGTATTTGGTGTTCAGAGACTAAATGTATTTGTTAAACCTTTGAACTCAAGCAAAACATTTTTACTGCTTTTTTCTACATTAGTTCTATTTTCTGTATTAAGATCATTGAAATAAAGTCAATTAGTTATAGACTTTAATCATATCTACAAAATACATCCACAGGGGGAAAAAAAAGATCATTGATTAGAATAAGAATTAGCTTAAGCAGGCATACTTTACAGTCATCCTGTAATGTTTAAATAAATCATGTATATATACAGTTGCCTTCCTTAATTCATATGAAGTCAAATTTTGGCTATAACACAAATATCTAAATGATTGGATAGGTTTAGAACACCTACAATTAGAAGATCTATATTGGGTACCACACCAAGAACTCCTACTCCTTTTAAGAATGCGCTTGCTGCTCAGGAGAAAAAATATGGACCCCTTAAAATTGTGGTATGTATATTCTTTTTATTTTTAAGAATTTTCCTAATTTAATAAAAATACAAATTTTGATTTTTATCCTTGATTTTTAATATTTTAAAAAAGATATTCACTGAAACTGATAAAAATTTAATCTCTTGATTTATAAGTTTGAGTTTGTATTCATCTTTTTACTTGACTTGTAAATAAACCTTTGCTTGGCTTGTTTTCAATTTTCACCTTACATTATATCATCCAGAGAAGGCAAATCAAGTGTCAGCAGATCTCTTTTCTTAACACTAAAACCAACCTTTTAGTAGTTTCAGTAGTGGTTACCTGTAATAGAATAGAGTAATTTTAATAGTTTGATATACATAAGCACTTTCCTAATAATATTTTTTAACTGATTGATTAAGATATCTCTTTAAGGCTCAGTTTCTGTTTCTGTTCAATGGAGATCATAAAACACACCCCAGAGGGTTATTGGCAAAGATAAAAGAGATAATAGAAATAAATCTAATGAAGCTAAGTTTCAAGTACAATAGTATGTGCTTCACTAGTTGCTGCTATTAAAATTTTTTTTTTAAAGATTTCACTTATTTATTCTTAGAGAGGGAAGGGAGGGAGATAGAGAGAGAAAAACATCAATGTGTGGTTGCTGGGGGTCATGGCCTGCAACCCAGGCATGTACCCTGGCTGGGAATCGAACCTGCGACACTTTGGTTTGCAGCCTGCGCTCAATCCACTGAGCTATGCCAGCCAAGGCTTAAACAAATTTTTAATAACAGTGCTAGCAATAGTAGCTCATGAATAGAGATGGGAAGTGTGCTCTCACTTACATCTGTGCTCTCGTGTATGTGAAGAAAGTGCCACACTGTTCAGTGTTTGCAATGTGCAATATTATTTTTGCCACAAAACTAGTTAGTTGATTAATTATTTAACTTATGTGTCAGGAGGGACTGGGAGAAAATTAAGCCACTAATGAAAAAATATAAAAGATGGGTGTCTGTATATGGGGAGAAAAAGCAATTGTTATAAAAGACTTTTTAAAAATCTTTTAAAAAACAATTTAGTCACAGCCACTTGCCTTCTTGGAAGAAGATATTCGGGAAGTTTTAAAAGAAGAAACTGGAACAGATATATTCCTCAAAGAGGAAGATGAACCTGCTTACAAAAGCTGCAAACAGGAGGTGATCTTTTAGTATTATTTGTCGTTAATAAAAGCCATATCATGACCAAGTGACTTTGCCATAATGTTTTCATTGTAAATTTTTCATTCTAGCCTACTGCTTCTGTGAAGAAAGTCAGAAAATCACTAGTTTTAGATAATTGGGAAAAAGAAGAACCAGGTACTCCACTATTGACTGAAGACATTTTAGACACGCAGGTTTGTAAAGCATTTTTTTAAATGGTTGCTTTAAGTCCTAGTGGCTTTTGTTTCATACTCAATGTGTGGTCAATTCATTAGAAATTTATATAAAGTTCCTTTAGTATTATTCTACCTAATTCAGAAAGAAGCTATTAACTCTAAGGAATATTTTATTTGCTTCCTTACTTTTTATGGTTTTTTTTTTTGTTTTGAGAGGAGTAGGGTCTCTTATGTATGATGTCAAAAAATGATAATTCTTAAAACTTTAAACTTCAGTATTTATTTCTGAAATATTTAATTTTGCCACATTATTAGAAATTTCATTGGAGTCAAAAGCTTTCTTGGAGGGAAATGAGCCAGGCTCCCACTACTACTTACTCATCAGTCCCTCTATTTGTCTCTGTTTTTTAGTTATTTTATTTTCCTCTTTCTTTTTTTCTCTCTTAGTCAGAAAATATATTTACAACATCTTTATTAATGATACCATTATTGGAAATACATGATAATAGGTGCAACTTGACTCCTGAAAAACAAGATATAAATTCAACCAACAAAACATATACACTTAATAAAAAGAAACCAAACCCTAACACTCCCAAAGTTGTCACATTGGAAAAGAATCTTCAGGTATGAATTTATAAATTTCTTTTAGTGATTTTTGTTGTTGTTTATTCAATTATCACTTTGGACTTACTGATCACAAATTATGCTTTTTCTTTTTAAATCTGATACTGACTATAACAGTAACTAAACATTCCTTATTATTTTGCCACTCAAACTAGATTTGGGTGTTGAGTGACTCATTCATCAGGGCACATATAAACTAAATAATAGGAGTTGTAGCCAGAAACTCTTCTGCTGATTTCCTAGGCACTATTTCATTTTATTTTTATTTTCTCTTATTTATTTGTTTGTTTGTTTGTTTAGAATGGAATTTATTGGGGTGACATTGGTTAATAAAATTATATAGGTTTCAGGTGTACAATTCTATAATACATCATCTATATATCACATTCTATGTTCACCACCTCAGGTCAAGTCTTCCATCACCATTTATCCCACCTTCCCACCTTTATCCTCTTCTCTCTCTCCCTTTCCCCTTTCCCTGTAGTAATCACATACTGATGTCTGTGTCTATGTTTTTTTGTTTTTTTGTTTTTGCTTAATCCCCTCACCTTTTTCATCCAGCCATCACCCCTGATAGCTGTCAGTGTGCACTCTATCTATGAGTCTGTCACTGTTTTGCTTGTTAGTTCAGTTTGTTCATTAGATTCTGCATAGTGACTAAAATCATATGGTATTTGTCTTTCTCTGACTGGCTTATTCCACTTAACATAATACTCTCTAGGTCCATCCATGCTGTCACAAAGGGTAAGATTTCCTTCTTTTTTATGGCTGAGTAGTATTATAAATGTACCACAGCTTTTTTATCCACTCACCTACTGATGGGCACTTGGGCTGCTTCCAAATTTTGGCTATTGTAAATAGTGCTGCTATGAACACAGGGGTGCATATTATTTCATTTTTAAACTAAAGACGTAAAAATACCTTTTTGGTACCTCTTCTCTTATAACAAATAAGTATGGCCCTAATTGCTGTCTTGAAAGCGTAGGTGGTTAGAAGCAGTCTGCACTTGATTTTGTTGGTATAATGGTTTCCAGTGAACTTTTTGGCTCAAAAGTTGTAAAACAAAGCTTTTTAAAATTTCCATTGCTGTGTAGCCCTTATGCAGCAGCAAATGAAGGCTGGAAAATTTTTACCATGTTATCTGAAGAATTCAACCCAAAGAATTTGAGAGTTCATTGAGGAGGACGTTTTCTTTATACCCACAATTACTGCAGCACTAGCATTTCTTGAAAACATCTTTTGCAATCAACTATGGCCACCTCACCTCTGTCTTGAGCCACTGCTCTTCAAAGGACCTTGTAGCATATTCTCTTAATCCATTTAGAATGATTTGATTTCCAAGTGTTTAACACAGCTTTTCAGAAAAAATTTATTACATAGCAGGTCATGCCTATAACATAGTCACCCTTATAAGGGCAGAAGACAAATGAATCAATGTAAACTTGACTTTGTGCTATGACTATATTTCCTAATTTGCAAGACATAAAGCATTCTTAGCTTATTTTTTGACATTACATCTTCTCAATCTTTTGTTAAATTTTCAATCAATAAAGACTGACATTCTTTCCATGATTTGATTTGGGGGTGGGGAGGGAGTTGTAGGGACAAAACTTTTTAACTGCCTCCACAGGTTTGTAAACAATATAGAAAACTAAAACAAAAATGACCTTAAATGTTTCAGTATGTGTGCTTTTTTTAATTGTGACTTAATAGTCACCACTTTATTTTTTTAGACTTTATTTATTTATTTTTAGAGTGGGGAAAGGAGGGAGATAGAGAGGGAGGAAGAGAGGGAAAGAAACATCAGTGTGTGAGAGAAACATCATTCAGTTGCCTCTCACTTGTGCCCCAACCAGAGACCCAGCCCACAACCTAGGCATGTGCCCTGGCTGAGAATTGAGCCCACAACCCTTACGTTTGCAGGACAATGCTTACCCAACTGAGCTACGTCAGTCGGGACTCAGTATGTATTTTTAAAACATAACATCATTTAAAAAGAATCACAGTGTCTTTATCCAAACATTTTTAATAATAACTACTTATCAAATATCCACTCAACTAAAGTAATTGACTTTTAAATGTGTAATTGTGAAGTAGTATAGATAATTAAGTACTTAAGCAATTTTAACAATATTAATATTTCTTTCCTAGTCAAATTGTGAATGGGAAACAGTGGTTTATGGGAAGACAGAAGACCAACTTATCATGACTGAACAAGCAAGAAGATATTTGAGCACTTACACAGCTAGCAGCAGCACTTCAAGAGCCCTCATACTGTAATTGTTATTAAAAGTGATGAAATGCCCCACTCCCTTACAATATTCTATACTAAATTAGGTTGCAATGAAATTTTTGTCAATTAATTGTTTTTAAGGTTTTAATACATCCCTAATGGTTTGCATCTTTTTTTCATACTTAGAAGGCAGAAAGTAAGGGGTAGGCAATTTCATAGTTTATTTTTTAAGAAATGAAATTTTTAAAAATTGTTTTTAAAAAACAATGAAAAATTACATTGGAATGTTCGTGGATAATCTAAAAGTAAATTCTCACACATTTTCTTCAAAAAATATATGTTGCTACTCTCTTAATGCTGCAGCTTTGTTACAGATAGGTTTATGTGTGGTCTCTGAAGTTAGTCTATGTATGGGAAGCACACATGGTTTTATGAAGTACCTTTGCCTGCGTGCTGATTTACTTAGGCTGCCATTGACAACGAAACACAATGGAAAGGAAGTTAAAGGAAAGATAGAAAGTTGCACTACTAATTTTTGGTGTTTTTCAAAAACAATAAAACTACAGTGTTAAATGTATTTATTTGAGCATAGTACTAAAAACAAAAAGCATGGAAAAAGGGTATTTTCCTTTGTAAAGAGTCAGTATTTTCTTCCTAAATCTCAGAAGAGCTGGGAGTTTGTTGAATGTATTGTACAGTATGTAGGAGCAGAAAAACTTTGTAAATTGGAAAGAAGTCTGTTTTTATAATTTATTTTCATTTTTAAAGCTTAAATGTAGATATTTATACCTGGACAGGGTGTCTAGAAGCCAGTGTTGTTTCCTGTTGTTACAGCTGACATATTAAAGAACAGTTTTGACTTTTAAGTATGAAACAGTAGTAAGTTATAGCTGCAAAATACACAATATCTATACTGCATGTCACATCTACCTAAATATTGCACTATGCCCTTTAAATCATGTTGGTTATAAAATAGCTCTAAAATATGTACTAAATAATAATTTAATATTTTCTTTTTAAATTATATGGGGGGTTATATAAATTAATCTGGTGATTTGTATATGTGTTTGAAAATTTTGCATTTTGTTTAAAAAAATAATATGGTACTTTGGTCCCTAAAAACAGTCTGTACTTAGAAGTTTATTATATTTACTCAATGTTTCAGAAGTAGAGAACATTATTTTTTATTTATAAAAATACTTTGTCCTTTTATAAAATTTGTGTTCCTCTGCAGGTTACAACAGTTGCTTCAGTTGCCTGTTTTAGGTGTTTGCACTTACTTTATTTCTTCTTGAAAGAATGTCTTTATTTGCTTTTGTGTAGAGATTTTATGGTGTTTTTTTTTTTTTTGGAGATATATAAAGGTGTGCTGTCAACTTAAACACTGACAGGTAAATAGAATTGTACACTGTAGTTTTAATTTTTATTTATAATTGACACACTCTCTCCCTCTCCACCCCTGAAGTATATGCTGCTATAGACAGTAGCAGAGTCGGCTTGCTGCTATGAGAGAAGGAAAGAGCGACCACCACTTGCACTGTGTGAAAAGAGAAAACGCAAATGATGGCACGTTCTCAGGTTAACTTAATGGAATCAACCATTACCAGGCAGATCCTTGCAAATACCAAAATACTATGCCTTAAGACAAGAACAGCTTAAGATTTTCTGATGTCTTTATGTTAGTAGAAAAGGAAATACTAAGTATTTTAATGCCTAGCTCTTGAATAGTAGTCCCAATAGGGTTTTAAGCTATTTAAATCTACTAGCTTGTTTTTGCATATTAGATGTGGTGAGAAGTGAAAAAAGTGTCTGCTACTAAGATTATGCCTTGTTGATAACAAATAGATGAGCCAATTGGAATCTTCTTAGCATGTTTGTTAAGTATATGTTGATTGCTTCCTAATTAGTGAACTTCTCACAGAAATTTCACTTTGTAAAACCAATGATTGTAACAAAATCATACTGGATTATTTTAATTTCAGTTGCCTTGAACTAATAGCACATAACGGTTCATTTTTTGGTTTCTGGGTTTGTTTGTTTGTTTGTTTTCAAATTTATGTAGCCCTCATCTGGTTTGTATGTACATAGTGTCCAATCACCAAAGTATAATATCTTGGGAGAGCAAAAATTTTTAAAGCATAATTTTTCTTGAGCATGAAATTATCCCAAAAGTAATATATTGCAGATAAGCCTGGGACTATTGGACATAGTACCTATTTGGGTTGGTATTGGTTGAATCCTTCAGTTAACTGCTTTGTTGCTTTTTGTAAGAACTTTTTAAATCTTAAGCATGTCAGGCATCTTCAGTCACCTTTGTCCTGTTGTGTTCATTTGAATTTCTTTCAGTATGTTACAAAAATGCCAGACATACTTATAGCAGCCATACTTGCATGGAAACTGAGTACACATATATAATACTGTATTTTGTTGTAAGGTTTTCACATTAATACAATTACCCTGACTAAATTGAGTTTCTTGATGTATGCGAAAACTTTCCATTGTAAGAGAATCTTGCTTACAGTTTTGACTCTTAACATCTGAAATAAAGCATCTGTGTACAAGCTGACTTGGCATTGCTCATTTCACTTTGGTTTTATGTTTTATGGTACTCATGGACCTTCAGGACCTGACCCAAGATTTTGTTCTTAGACGTCTTCTCTTTTAGGACTCTCTTCATAGGCGATTTTATCTGTTAACATAACTTGACTTGTTGCACTTTACTCTTGAACCTCATTCTGAGCTTTATTTTCAACTGCCTTTAGATATTTCCATATGACTCTTATGTCAACACCTTAAATCCGTCATGTCCTCTTTTTCTTAACTTGGACCTGCCCTTCCTTTTTTCTGCTTCTTAGTGATGTTGCCTTCCCTTCAATCATCCACTGAGAAGTCTCCTGCCCTTCCCTCACCCCTCACATTGAAATCTGTGGTAAATTCTCAGCCCGCAGAAGGCCACTGCTCTCGCTCCATTCCTTCCTCACTTACTTGGATTACGGCACTTAATCACTCTGATCTCCATTCTATAGGAACATCAGGAAACTGGTGGTATCTGGGTGTCACCTGGGCAAGGCCAGCTGGTCCCCAGTCAGGTCTATGCATTATCACATTGCCTCAGTAAATTCATCACCATCCAGATTTTACCTTTAGCTTTCTAAGCTCAGAAATCTGATGGATTCACCCACCAAAAAAGAGTTTACTCCCCAGTAGACTACGTATATCAAGTGTGTGAGGCTGATGCATGAAACCACAATGCCAATCTAACGTACAGTGTGAAGTGTAGCTGCTGAGAGGACGAGGCATGATCTCTCCTTATAGTAAGCATAAAGAAACACATAGAGAAAACACACAAATCTGTCACATTTCTCCTGTTCAGAGACCTTCCATAGTTGTCTGTTGCCTAAATAATATTTCTTTTTATGTGCATGCTCCTATCTACATATCTCTATGCTTGTGTTTGCAGTGTTCTCTCTGCACTACTGCTTTTATCTCCCTGGCCTGTTAAAATCTTAACCTTCCAGGTACAGATCAGTGAATCATTTCCTGATTATCCTAGTGCTTCCATAAAACTTTCCCACTAGACTTTGTTTTGAAAAGTAGGGATGGCTATTTATAGCTCCTGTGTCTAGCATGGTGCTTAGAAAATCTCAGTAAGTGTTAAACTGAAGAATTTTTAAGTTAGTCATCTAGAGAATATTAACCATACTTATTTTATGCGACAGATTATAAATAGCTTTTGTTTATTAGTTATCTGCATGAAATGGGTTTTGATTAATAGTCAGTAAACAATTACTTTGTTAAAATCTTCCAGCTCATTTTATAACCATGTTATTTCCTGCTTGATTTATTTACTTAGAGTGATTGGCTTGCCAGCCAATCAAACTTTAATATAAAACAGATGGTAGTTTTTGAAGAGGTACTTCACTCTGCGAGAAGTCAAAATTTATTTTTAATTAAGTACTGGAGGGTAAAATGAACCAAGTGGAATTCCATTGGAACATTACACTTTCCCTTTCCTGCTTTAAAAAATGGATATAGTCAAGAAGATATGAAATACATTGGTAGAAAACCAAGATGAAATGCACCAGGAAAAAAATTATTGATTGGCTGACGTGTTCGGAAGAGAGCGTTTTTGAAAATTGAAGTATTTTTGGAGTTGCTGTTGTCCAGGGTGTAGTATCTTGGCATTAGCACATTAAAAGCTTTTGAGTTTGAGTAAACTCAGTATTGCAAGCATTACAGTACACAGTCCTTCTGAAAGTTTCAGACCTAGTATGCTTATTCAAGTTCCAAGTATTGAATGTGCTAGGTTGTAATGAATTTTCCTGGCCAGCACAGGGAAAGAGGGAGGGAGATTGACTTTACTTTGATTTTACTTCTTTTTTTTTAAAGATTTTATTTATTTTTAGAGAGGGAAGTGAGGGAGAAAGAGATAGAGAAACATCAGTGTGCGGTTGCTGGGGGTCATGGCCTGCAACCCAGGCATGTACCCTGACTGGGAATCGAACTGCGATACTTTGGTTCGCTGATTTTACTTCCGTAATTTTGACAACCCATAGCTCAAAAGATCGGACCAGGTTCTGGCATAATTTCCTAAGCCCCAATACAATTATTTATTCTTTCAACTAGCCACCTGTACTTAACTGAATGCTTACAGTACCTGGTGCTAGGTCCTGGGGATACTATGATAAGCAGGACATGACCCTTCCCTTAAAGAAGCTGATATTCTAGAAGAGCAGATGAATAAATATAAAACCAGCAATTGTGACTTTTCTCTTTTGGCTGCAAGTGAGATGGATCATTCTATTTTATTTCAAGTGAAATGGATAAAGGAGCCAGGTTTTGTATTTTATTTAAAGATGCTCACTTGAGAATAATGGAATGGTTTGTCACTGCCTGGATGGTGTGGACTTTTCCCCCATTCTCTATGAAGAATTAGGCACCGAGCCATCCCAGGGTCTTGCAAGTTCACAGACTCAGAGTTTGAGAACAATGTAGCAGCTGCAGCCACGTATTGTACCAGCCATGTACATTATTTCATTTAATCCTTTCAGCAACTCTATTAGGTAAACATTATTATAATCTACTTTTATGGATGAAAACAGGCTTAGGTTAAAAGGCTTGTCTAAACTCACACAGTATAATGCTGAACTGGGATTCATTCAATTGTCTCAGAATTAGGTTGAGTCTTTAAAATTAAGCACAGGGCACAAGAATATACAGTGTATGCTTCCATTTCTATAAAAGTACAAAAACAGGCCAACAACTTTATGCTATTAGAAGTTAGGATAGTGGTTGTGCTGTGTGGGATGGTTTCTGAGAGGAGCTGTGAGGGGGGCTTCTGGAATACTAGAGAGCTCCATTTCTTGCTGTGGAAGCTGATTTTATGGATGTGTTTAAGTTTGTACAAATTTAAGCTCTACTATTATGACATGTGCACTTTTCTGTATGTATGCACATTATGCTTCTATAATAAGTTTTTTTTTAAATTAAGCCTACTTGGATAAGAGAGGAAAATAAAAATGCACTGCCAGAGAAAAACACAACAAATTATCCACTGCACTTTTGCATTCATGTGCTTACTTGTAACAGTCTATGAAGCTAGACTGAGGAACTTCTCACCATTGTTCTCTAACATATGTTAGGCCTGTTTTTTCTAGTAAAGTAAATTTATGCTAAATTTCTACATGAAATGAATGAGTAGTTAATGAGCTGTATATACCAAATTTATCAAATTTTATGAGTGAGTTTACTCCATTACAGGAATCCTTTACTCAATAATTACAGTTCTAAAGTAAATAGTCCTTGTCCTCCATATATACTCCACAATTACATCTCTAACCTCTGCTTAGGCTCTTGTCTCCACCTTACCATTCATGTTTTCACTCCCCAACCCCACTGAAATCTCCATACTCACCTGACTACCTAGTACCAAATATTCATCTAACTGAATATTCATCTAATGTGATCCACCAGTTACTTTGCACCTCATCAACTGCATTTCTTTGTTTTTAATGTTCAGTGATCTGTGGACCTTTTATTGGCCTCCCAAGGGTGCCTCCACTTCTGCTACTTTAATGCCTTAGAACTTTGGTGTCGTTGGCCTTGGACACCATTTTGCTGTCCACAGTCCTGTGGGTGGTGGTCGTTGGATGGAATCTATGGAGCTGCTGTTGTCCAGGGTGTCAACAGTGTTTCTTTATTAGTACAGTGTATTACAATCTTGTTTGTTTAGTACTGACATTGTCTTAACCAACATTCACTTAATTCGCTCGTCTGATTGACCCACATTCTTCATTCCCAAATTCTCTGTTCACCCAGGGCTCGCAGGTTATTTGACCTTCTCCAGTTTATTGAACACTTTTGCTCAATTAACAGTGAGTGCAAATAATATCAGTTAAGAGGGCTCCTACTACATTTTTTAAAGTTTAATAATATATTTTAACACAATATATCCAAAATACTATCATTTTTAACATGATTAGTAGATGTCATTAATGAGGTATTTTACATTCTTTTTTTTTTTTTCCTATTCCAAGTCTTTGAAATCCAATGTGTGTTGGGGACCACCCTGCCTGGTCTCAGGAAACTGTAACCCCCCCCGTGATTAGGCTGAGTGAAAGACCCCTGGACCAGGAGCCACTAAGGAGACAAAACTTATTTCCCTGGCATGAACACTGCCTGTTCTAATGCCTGGCTTCCCTTTTGCAAGGTCGGCAGTCAATGACGGGTAACAATTCTCTAAGAAAGACAATGAATCTAAGAAGCGATCATGTGGGAATGCCCTAAGGGAAGAGACTCGTGGGGCTGTGGAAATGAAGGGGTGATCGACATCAACTCCTGCCCCCTTGGCTTTGTCAAAGCCTGAGTCCTTGTGAGAAATCCAAGTCTCCTGGCTGCCTTTGTCTTCTCTGTTAACTCAGGCCTGCAGGGACTCAACCCAGACCAGAAATGGCGGACCCCCAGGGGGATCAGGCCTGGGACATAGAATATGCAAGATCCTGTGAGATCTGTTTGCTGGAGGATGTTATTAACTTGGAAGGCACAGACAGGAAACCTTTGGAACCTGTAGTCCTTTCATATGATAAAACCCCAAACTTTGCTCAGAATCACAGCAGGAGTGCTGTCTGCACCTTTGTAAGTAGCCTACTTCTTTCAATCTTCTGCCAGACTGTGAATCCACAAACTAAGTCTGTGTTCTCAATAAAAATCTGCTTGGGAACGGATATAAGGTGCCCTCCAGGAGAGAGGGTGGCCCTTCTGTCCCTATTCTCTGACAGGACCTGCTTGTCTCTGTGTATGTTTTTCTCGTGTTTCGTTTCGACGAGTATCCGCAGCCAAGATGGATACTGCAGGGCGGTACCCTCCACACAATGTGCATCTTACAGCCACATTTTGGGGGCTCCATAGCTGCATGTGGGGAGTGGCTGCTGTACTGGGCAGTGCAGTTCTAAACCACTAGGAATTCACAGAGAAAATGCTTTGTGATCCAGAAGAAACACTACCTATTTCAGGCCATGACAGAATAATTTAGTAAGTTAACAGTCATTGTAATCCTTTTT